ATGTCTCTTTGTAAGCATTCGGCGTTTGTAGAGATGAGTAAATCATAGGTGCTCAATAAAATTTTACCTCATTCTTGCTTTCTGAGTATTTCGTTTTCCAGCTCTCGGAGTCGCTACCAGATGTGTCATCTTCAGTAGGTATACTGGAGACTGATTCTCGCAATATTGTTGACCTCATTGAGAAAGAATACTTGAAGATTAGCGAGAAGATAATCATGGTGGATAACGCCAATGCTAGTGACGGATTGAAGATCACCTATCGGAGCATGTGCCTCGAGTAAGATTTTTTGATAGTTGTTTTTTAATTTGACACCATTTTGCCCTGCGCTTTTCAGCGGTACCACGCTCAAAGACACAAATGTGTGCGAGGGCATCCATGTAGGGGACGAGGTGCAGTTCGAGGTGACTCTGGAAGCTACTCATTGTGTTAAGAAGAGGGACTTCGTGCTGCGTATAGGTCCTTCCGGTCTGGATGAGACACTCATTGTCAATGTAAAAGTGCTGTGCGACTGCGATTGTGAACAGGAGGTACTTCAACTTGGACTAAATGAGCTCTACTCTATTTCAAATGGCTGCTGCTATGTTTAAGGACCGTATCGTGGAAAACACTGAAGATTGTCATGGTGGAGACATGGTGTGCGGTGTTTGTCGTTGTAAAGGCGGAAATGTTGGTCGTTATTGCGAATGTAATCGACCGGGCATGAGCACTGCTGCTTTGAATGAAAAATGCAAGAGGTATGTTTACTCCACTGAGAAATCAATCTTGAGAGAACAATCTAACTTGTCACCATCAGAACAATTGCCAAGCAGCCAGGATTGTTATTATATATTCAACTTCCGCTTTTTATATTTTCTGTTTTTCTAACTCGCTTTTTCAAAAGATGTTCTCAGCTTCTCGTTGATGTTTCTAATCCTATTAATTTTTAAATTTTGTAGGACAAATGAATCAGCTATCTGTGAAGGTCGTGGAGTGTGCAACTGTGGTCGTTGTGAATGCAACCCTCGTCAGGTATGATAACCATTTCCCATACGATCCGTTATGCAACGATGAATAAAAATTTATGACTTATGCGGCTTCCGACGAATGTGGTTTTTTAGAACCCCGAAGAACAAATTTCTGGGGAATTCTGTGAATGCGATAACTTTAACTGCCCTCGAC